TATGTTTGTTTATATTCGTTTACATTCGATAATTTGTTTGTTTAATTAAATTTATATTTATCTTCGTTTATTTATATTCTTTTAAGAATTTTTGTTTAAGAAAGTTACATTTTATGTTAGTTTACATTCGTTTATGTTCGTTGTTCATTTTAATAAACGAACATGAATGAATGCAAGCTACATTCCTTAACGAACGAACACAAACACAAAATTATGTTCGTTTAGTTGTTTATATTCATTAGTTTATTTGGTTAAAGTTAAACGAACGAACATGAACATATCATCGTTCATGTTCGTTCGGTTCATTTAGATGGACTTGGAATGTAATACCCCATAATTTCACCTAGTGACCAAAATGTAATTTTTGAAAGTTTAGTGGCCAAAATATAAAGTTGGGAAAAGTTTAGGGATCAAAGTGTAATTTGAAAACGTTACGTAATCTGGTCCCGTAAATGAATATTTTACCCCCAAGAATGAAATTTTTGTGGGAATCAAATTTTTTCATACGAATTTTGTATAAAGCGATAAAGTTCGAGAAAATTTTGGATAATCGGATTGAATCAAATTTTTGAGATATTTTGAAGGATGATAAGGAAAGGTTAAAAATATTATTTTTCATGTGTTAAATTGAAGAATTATTGGATTTAAGATGATGTCTCCATGTTAAATATGGATCGTTGGATTTTAGTGGCTAGATTGTAAATTTTGAAAAAATACAAGGGAAAAATTGGAAAATGACAAATTATTTGTTCCTGTTTGACTTTGATGATGTAAGGGATGATGAAAGAATGGTAATTTAGTAATTATCATGAAATTCAAGGGTAAAATGGTAAAGATGGTGGAATTTTAAGGGTTAATTGATAATTTGACATTAAATGAGATTTTTATTCATTTTATAATTAAGAAAGATGAAAAAAATCAAGATTGCTTCATTATTTTCTTCTCCAAGTCGTGCTCACCATAACCAAGGTAAGAGAAAATTTTCTTTTTGATTTTTCAAGCTAATTTCTTAGGAATTTCTATTCGAGCATAAAAGAAAATTTGTCCGATTCGATGAGCTCTATATTTTGGTACTAATTTTTCATGCTAATCTTGCTTGAAAATGAAGTTCTCAAATCCTAGGGTTTATGTTCATGTTAGGGTTTTATGAATTGATGAAGAATTATGATATTATGGATGTTGTAGAATCATTTCCAAGCATGAAAAATGATTGAAAATCATTAGAAATTGTATATGAAATATTTGACCAATTTAGGGTTTGAAGGAAACTAGATGTTTGAATTGAAATTGATATGGAAAAGGTTGAAATTGTATGGAATTGATGTTTAGATGTTGAATTCATGCTTGAATCAAAGTGAAAATTTTTCTACATATACTTTGAGTAGTTTCGGCCATGAAGATAAAAATAGGGGAAAATATTGAAAAATTCCTAAGGTAGGCATGTAAATGAACTGAACGTTCAGCGAACCGTTCATGAACCATGCGGCGGGAAGTTCGTTTATGTGTGTTTATTTATTAAATGAATGAACATGAACAAGATCTTGTGTTCGTTTAATTAAATGAACGAACACAAACATAGGTCTCGTTCATTCATTTACGTTCGTGAACGTTCGATTATGTTCGTTTATGTTCGTTCGGTTATGTTCGTTTATGTTCGTTCATTTATGTTTAACCCAATCTTCTTAAATCAATTTTGGTGACCAATTTGTAAGTATCTTAAAAATATTAATTAATCTGATATTTTGATGACCAACTCCATAATTAACCCAATTTTATTTGGAGATTAAATCCAATATGTTAATCCGTGAGGCACCTCACACTTATATTCATTTTCCCTTTTTTTCCCAAACCCTAGTGTTCACTGAAGAGTGGAGACGATCGGTGAAAGCTTCAAAACAAGTTATATTATAATGCAATATGATGTTTTACAGGTCTGTTTTCATCTATTTCTCTGTTTTATTTGGCTTAATAGTTGATATATAAAGTTATTGCGGGTATCTTCACATCTAAAACTCAAGAAAACATCATACTTCTTTCTAGAAATAGATGGGAAGATAAAGGTAACAATTGGAAGTATATGAGCATTAATAAAGAGAAAAATATATAGAATTTGCTTGAAAACAAAACAAAGGTTTCCATGCAATTTTTGAAAAAGAGTGTAATAGCGGAAGTAATGGGTTTTCTAGGAAAAACCCATTAATAAGTAGAAAATACACTTTAACAATGAACTTTTATTTTCATAGTTCTTGTGTGACCTTTAGTTGTGGAGTAGACTTTAGGTAGATTAAAATTTTGAATGGTAGTTTAGCAATAATATCAGTTACGATATGAAGCATCAGAGGGATTTCGGATCTATGTTATTGCCTTGTAGTCCAATTTGTACCGTTCGAAATCTTCATGCTGTTAAATTTTCGACTATGCCAACAGAAAGGACCATTATTAACAAATCTCACTAAAGTCTGACATTGATGTCATAAAACTTTTAGCCGGAGAATTTATTAGAATAACGTAGTGGAAAATGATTGTTCATATGTAATCATGGACCACTGAGATAAATGTTATAACGTTAAATTAAAGTCGTGTGAATCATTTAATATCTTTAAAAGATCAATCGAAATATATGATATCTTCAAACATTTCATCACTACGAATCAGCTCTTACGCTATTTATCACTGTAGATTTGGTTTATTTGCATTGTCGACTATTTTTCATGAAAGAACAATGGAAGTTAGGGTCTCCAACGTTTATGTTCGTTTATTTATTAAATGAACGAACATGAACAAGCTATATTCCTTAATGAACGAACATGAACAAAAAAAAATTTGTTCGTTTATGTTCGTGTTCGTTTATTTATTAAATGAACGAACATGAACATACCTCCGTTCGTGTGCGTTCGGTTCGTTTACAGGCCTACCCTAAGGGTCAGAAATGATGTATGAATTATTCTACATGCTTTGGATTGTGATTTAGACCAATTTGGAAGCTTGTTAAAGTTTGGGGACCAAATCGTAAAGTTTTGAAAATTGGGGATTTAAGTGATTATAATGCAATAGTTGATGTACTATGTTTAAATGTCGTATTGGAATATTAAATAGTGGTCTTACAAGTTGTTTGAATCAATTTGAAAGTTTATAAAGGTTTGGGATTAAATTGTAAAAAGATGAATATATGGGTTTGAAATGGAAATTAGCATGAAATTGAAGTTAGACATGATGAATGGATGATTATGTAATCCTTATAAAGTTGTAAGGATCAATGTGTAAATTAAAAGAATTGATGGAGAAATTAAGGGTGCAAAGTAATGAAAATTGTTTAGATTTTTGAATCTGACAGTAAGTTTGAAAATTCACCAAAAATTCTATAAAAACGATTAGGAGGTGATTTTTATACGGTTGTGTTTGTATGCCAGTCTAGTTTTGTTTAAAATAAATGTAGTTGGTAGAAGCATCGGACTTCAAGGTAGAAGAGCCGATGTAACAAGGAGCACCGAACTTCAAGGGAGAAGTGTAGATGCATGGAGCATTAGATTCTGAGGGGAAAGGAAGGATGATGCACTTTTAGGTGAATGCAACCGAAAGGAACAAGGTACATCTCGAACAAAACTCTTGCATGTGTTGTTAAGTCTAATTTTCCATTTTCAGTGAGTCTAGGTCAAGAAGGACCTAACCATAAAAAGGGGAGCAGTTAAAAATTGGAAGGGACATGGGTAGTCATCCAAGCTTGTGCCTAAGGATCGAGGCGATCTGTTCAAAGGCAATTTTAGACAAGTAGGAAGGGGTTCCTACAATCGAGGTGTGCGCAACAGGACAAAAGAGTACAAGGCTACATGGTAGCAAAAGCCAAGGCAAGCAATTCATATGGGGGAACAACAACAAGCCGAGGCACCTGGAAGAAACCAAGTTGAGCAAGTCCGAGTAAATTCTAGTGGTGCGACAAGGGCATCTCTAGGTTCGGTGGGGGAGAATGTCACGCCCATAGAGTTTGGGCCTGAGACATGTGTGCTTGAGTCCGCAACAAAGGTTCTCAAGAAGGTGTTAGACGTGACTGATCCATCAGACTTGTCCCAATCCATGAAGAAAGCTAAGGAGTTTTTCCACACTGGCCAAGCAAATATGGAAAGTGGCAGCATATCAGAAGATGATCCCAGAAGCTCGGTAAATATGGAAGGAGATAACAAATCAGAGGAGATTATAGAAGATTTTGACCATATCCAATGTGAACAACCATCTAAGGAAAGAATGGGACTAATTGGATTGTTGCTTGGTTGTCTTCCCTTAAATTAGGGGATTTTGTATTTAATAGGGCTCATCTTAGCCATTGATCTAGATTGATCTTAGCCGTCCATTGTAAGGGGACTCAACTATAAATAGAGGTCTTCCCCACCTCATTTGTTCTCACTTCACTTTTCATTTCATTTGGTCGAATACAAAGAGCATTCACCCAACGCTCTCTCTTGTTTGTGTTAGCTATCTCTTTCCCAAGTTTTTTTTTGTGCTTCCGCGTGGTGCTAAAAGCCTTCTAGCTTAGTGTTTTCAGGCTGACTTAGGTGCAAAATGCCCAAAAGTGGTTCTGAAGCATCTAAGGTCGTATGTTCTCGAGTTTAAGGCTCCAAGGGCGTGACAAGCGCCACAGATTAGCATGTTCACATAGTCCGTTCTTCACATGAAACGAGTTCACACTTTGATCTTTTCCCATCACACCCAACAAAAAAATTCACCTAGGATCCAGTTTTACACCACAAACATATGCAGGATTCGAGATACAAATTTAACCAACCACAGAAGTAAATATACATATGAAGAAACTATGAAAAATGCAGTGCGCATATTAGAAAGAGGTGGGAAACAAGAAATTCAATATATATTACAAAGAGACAAATGTAGAAGAAACAGATACATCAACCCACAATTATAGGTAAAAGGTATATATAGACAGTAATATTTTGTGTTACTGAATATGACACAAAGCAATGAAATAAGAATCAACATTCATCCTTTTATTCCATTTGCTTCATGACAAAGAAAAATAAATATGGGTATATTTTTTTAATTTCAGTTGTCTAGGTAATACTTGTTATCCAAAGTATAGGTAACATTTTCATTTGATATTATACTATAGTCTGCAGCTGTAGTAGGTAACATGGAAGAAGGAGGAGGAGGAAGTGATGGAGCCGACGGTGGTGGTGGTGGTGGTGGTGTTGGTGGTGCAGCAATTGTAACAGCCCCAGAAGAAAGCAAGGCTAAATGGGAAGATTCCCGACACTTGTATTGTATTATCTCGGTCCTCACTGCATTGATTTCGGCTTGTAAAGAATGGACTTGCTGCTGCAGAGCTGCGATTGCACCCATGCAGCCGTAAACAGGGTCTCTTAGCCTCACGTTCGCCTCGTAAACAAGGCTGCTCGCGGCGTCGGCTCTTTGGCTCTCCGGTACTTCCTGAATTTCACCCCCATGAAAAGGCAAATCATTATTTGAAACAAATGCAGATTTAGATGAAGAAGAAAATAGAATACCATTAGCATCTTGGAGACATTGCTAGCACCAAAGACTTTGTGAACAGAAGCAAACTTGTGGGGTTCATGTGGGGAGAAATATGGAGAAAATGGACATTCTTCAGCACATCTACGCCTCAAGAGTTTGCAGGCAGCACATGGTGTAATATTATTTAGGGTTCCTGGAGGTCCCAGTATGTGTCTTCTTCCCATCTGATGACCAAATGAAACATCTGCTTCTCTCTTTATCTTCTTCCCTATCTCCTCTAACCTCTCCCTAAATATATTTCACCCAAAAAAATGACTAGTTACTATATCTATGCAATCAATAATTAGGTATCTCAGAAAAGTGAATTAAGTTGATGGGTCTTACCTTTCGGTGGACATTCAGGCATGCATGTTCTCGGGCCTGGAGAACAATTTTCTCAGGCTGCTAGAGAGGAGAAGAGAAGGAACAAGAAGAAGGAAATAAGAGAAGGGGGAAAAGAGTGCTTAAAAGACAAGATATACAGGAGAAAGGTATGTGTATATGGTCCACTGTTTAAAATGGGATTAATATATAATATTATAGGCAAAATGGATTTATGTAATTATATTTATACACAAAGTCGATTCTTGGAATTATAATTTGCCGACACACTAAATAATAATAGTAAGAGGAGTGCTTTGAGAGGGAGCTTCAATGGAAGCAAAGTAGAGTGGGAGAAATTGAAGAGGTGATAATATATATATATATATATATATATAATGCCAGTTCTATCTTTGCTTGCTCACGTGCGAATCCTTAAATGTGTTGACTTTTGGAAAATCAAACTATTCAACTAGCTTAACCATGTGATATATATAAAAATAATATAAGATTTAACTCAAAATTTAATTTAATTAAATCAAGTAATGTAAATATAATATGTTTTAATTATATTAAAATGAGATACATTAATTGGTTGAATGATAAGAATGATTGTTTATGTTATCTTCGATCCAAATCTAATAATTTTCTTGAAAATATTATATCTTTCCACTTAATAAAAAATTATCCAAACTACCAACAATTGGTTGGTCTAGTAGGATGAGGTACTAGGTTCTTTAAGCAAAATTAAGGGTTTGAATCATGACTTTTACGAATAGAGCAAATTAGGTTAAGAAGATCGTTCTCTCGTCTCTGTAGTACTCGATCCAAAATAAAAAAATATTATATATATATATATATATATATATATATATTGATGATAAATGATAGGAATATGTGGTTTCTTGGGTTAAGGGCACGCTATGTTAGTTTCTTGTCAAAATCAAGAGTCCATCTCTACTTAAAATGATGATTTGTATATCAATTCCCAAATTGGAATACAAATTATGATCAGAATTGCCTTATACTACCCGCAATTTGTTGTTCCAAGATGCCCAACTGACCTTACATTTAGACTTGGTCACACTTAGGGATGGCAACTCAACCCGAATTCGACGGATTCTGACCCGACCCGACCTGATCGGGTCGGATTTTTTTAAAAAAAATTCGGGTTCGGGTCGGGTCGGGTCGGGTTTTTTTAAAATGCACTGTTCGGGTCGGGTCGGGTCGGGTTTAGGGTAAAAAAATCCGACCCGACCCGAAAAATATATATAATTTTATCTTATATATTTAGGGATAATTACAATAATATCCCTCCATATATAATTTTTTTCAATTAAGTCACTGTTTTCATTGAATTAAATTTTTTTTTTATTTCGGGTCGGGTCGGGTCGGGTTTCTAAGTCGGGTCGGGTCGGGTCGGGTGAAACATTAATTTTGTCGGGTCGGGTCACGGGTGGAGAACCCTTTCTTCTCGGGTCGGGTCGGGTGGCCCAAAAACCCGACCCGACCCGACCCATTGCCATCCCTAGTCACACTAACACCACCCTCCTTTACCAAGATCTTTAATTAATACTAATTTGAATTCTAAACTACTGTATATACAAAATAGGTCTAACTATAAATTCTATTTCTCTATTATATGACTTTGATTTATCAGAATTATTTATTCAATTAATATATATATGTTTAGAATCTTTCTTGGTCGTTGGCAATATACACATCTTATTGACGTATTTACTCGAATCCAAAATTTTTAAGAAAAAAAATGACATTCTCTTCTATTACTAAGACCGCTTAGTAAGTTTGACAACTCATTGAAATTTAAGTAAATGTTGTTAATTTAAAAAGAAAAATGAGAGTTGGATATGATTTAAAAGAAATGTTATATCAAAGTGGGTGGTGAAATGGAGAGGATAAATTTGCTTAGATTTGAAGGGAAAAAGGCACTTATTTGACCCGTATTTTCAGGCTTACTAAACTAATCTCCCACACCCAACCTAGCTGTATCTCAAATCCCAGAATTTGCCCACTTTCACTGTTCTCTCATGCAATCAAAGGACCTCATAGAACGCAGTAATATTTTTCAACTTTATATACCAAACAAACACTCGTATTATGCATATATAGCTCAAAATGCATGCATCTTAGCTGAACAATTTAAATGTAGAGGAAATTCGGCCTGATCAAATTAATCGAATCAAGTGATAGATCCATAAATATTTTTAAAGATAAACATATATATTAATAACATAAATTTCTATATAGACAAATATAAATGAAATTTCAAATTGAATGAATAGCTAATATAAAAAATTAAATTTTATGATAAACACGTGTCCACCTTAAATAATATTTGAGTCCACAAATGGTAAAATCAATAGACCGCGAATGAACCCAACTTTGAATGGGCAGACTTTTCCTTGCTGTCATTCATTTATTTGTGAGTTTGGTCATAGGATTTTGTTTGTTCGAAAATTTGTAGGTTGACTCTCGATTTGTTTAAATTAAACATTGTGTTATTTGAATAAATTGATTTATAAACCTATACTAACACGTTATTTTTTCTAAAAAGTTTAGATTCAAATAATTATGTCTGTAGAGTATATATATGTTATTAATATAAAAGAATTTCTAGATATATATTAACTTATAATCAATACAGATTCTTAAAAAATGAATTTATTACGATATGCAGTCAATAATTAAATTATTATTATTATTAAGGCTAAAGAAATATTTTTGTCTTTGAGTTCATACTAAAAATCAATTTAGTCTCATTGTAGAAAACATATCAGTTTGGCCTTTGAATTCACGAATTGCATCCATTTAGGTCCTTGACTAAGATTGATTGTTATTTTGTTGACGTGATTGTTAATGTTGTTAATATGATAGTCTATTATGTTGATATAGTAGTCCATAATGATAATGTGACAATTAACAACGTTGATGTGGTAGTTTATGTGTAAATTATGGCATGATAGAAAGGTAATCTTTGAATTTTTTTTAGAAAATTCGATAACAACATTAATTGTTTTAGGAAATTCGAGAGCATAATTAATCTTTTATGTAATAATTAAATAAAAATTTAAAAATATTAAAAATAAATTATTAAAAATAATAAAATTACTAACAATAAAGTACTATTAAAAATAAAAAAATTATATAAAAATTAAAATTTAACAAATTATAAAATATAAAAAATTAAATTTAAAACCATTTTTAAAAATATTAAAATTGTAAAAAATTAAAAAACTATTAAAAATTATTTGACACATGAATGGTGTAGTATTTCGTTTTAATCTATTTGTTAAGGTGGCTGAACTGGACATTTTATATTGGAGGGGCCAAATATCTAAAGTAATTCTAACAATAGCTTAGTCTATTAAATCTCATGTAAATTAAATTAAATTATAGTAACAAATTTTGGCAATCAAGTTGTAAATGAAACACTTAAAATATTAAGAAAAATAACAGAATTTTACCTTTATTTATAGAATAAAGTAAGAGTCTAAAAGTGTTTAAAATATTATGTTAGATCATTGAAAATTTTGAATTTTCATTCATTTAATTTTTGAATTTTTATTCATTTAAATTTTGAAGAAAATCAAGTTTTGGTCTCGTCCGATGTAAATTTTCTTATTTTATTTTATTCAAAAATATTATAAAAATAGGAGGAGAGAAGAAAACCATGATTTTAGAAATAAAAAATAACAATAACAAAATAAAAGTTATAGAAAATAATTAAATTTGTGTGTATACTAATTATATATTACCAATACTTTTTAATTCTAAGCTATTAGACATAAAAAGAAAAAAAACTAATATTTTAATAAATAATTTTAAATTCATATATTTTTTATGACACTGTATATATAAAATTTATATTTTGAGAATATCAATTGAATTTTATTTATAAACATATAAATATGTATGTATATCAATATGAAATTTTAATAATTTTAAGAAAATAAAATATTTTTTTCAAATATTTTAAGTGAGATAAATAAAACTTTTAAAAATTCCAAAGGGTCTTAAAATAATTTTCCCAAGTCTTAAGGGGATCATGACTCCCTCTAATCTCCATGTTGTTCCGCCACTGATTTGTTATAGTGATTTTACGTCATGACTTGAACTTGATTTAGTTACTTGGATAGGAAATCATATCGTTGGTAATTTGTTAAGGTATGAAATATTTAAAAACAGGGATCATAATTTAAGGATAAATTGAGATGTTTAAAAGATTAATTAATTCAGAATTAATTTAAAATAAAAAATAAAAATAAAATTTTATCATTAAAAATTTTAAAGACTGATCTAGAATAAAAATAATAATTTAAGAATATATAATATAATTAACTCTAACATTATTGTATATTTCGTAATAAAATAATTTAACCATAATTATAAGTAGTTAATCTTGGTTGTATTTGTTTTTCTCGACCAAAGCCAAATTTATAGATAACGGGTAATGACGAGAATACGAAAGGACCATAGTAACTTCGGGAAGAAAATCAATCCTCCACATAACCTAATCCCAATTTTGCACTTATTCTTCAATATGCTAGTTGCGTAAATGGATTATTTAATAAATTAATAGTACATAGTGAGGGATTTAGAAATATTTTTTAAGATATATATATTAATAATATAAAAAATTTATATGAGAAGACCACAATTTTTTTTAAATGAACTCAATCAATAAAATGAATAATTAACCGAAGAACGTTCAAATTTTAAAGTAAACATGTACCCACCTTAAAATCAAGTAGTAATAGAGTTTTTTAATTCCTTTAAAAATTGTTTTATATTTTATTATATACAATTGATCTATTCTAATTTTGAATCATAAATCTTAAAGTCTATATCCTTAAATTCTAAATAAAATAAATATTATTAAAATAAATCGATGGTTTAAAATACATTTTACACTTTATATATAATATTAAAGTTGATTATAAAGTAATATATGTTCTAAATACTCTTAATTATTTGATAATAAACGCTCAATCACAATTTTTCACTGTTTATATATTAAAAGTTCTTTTTTTAATTTGAATATATAATTAGATGAGAAATTAAAATACTCCATTTTTAACCTACCAAATAATGATTCTACTTAAAGATGGTGTTTATAAGTTTATTTCTATTTATTTGGGGATTAGTTTAATTTCTTTTACCCAAAAGTTCAATTACCTATAACCTTGTAAGCAGCAAGTAGGTAACACAATGCAACCTTATTATTAATTTGCTGGTATCGTATTAGGTAAGGTTGAAGTTGAAGGGGACCAAACCAACTCCCTTGTACTCCCCCATAAATATTCCCACTCACCTCACCAATGGGTCTAAAATTGAAACAAACATGGCGGTGTTAATTGATTCTTCACCATTCCTTTGATGCTAGTGTGTGAAAAAATAGAATCTAAATTGTGATTTTAATAGTAAAAAAATATTGTTTTATTTAAATGATCTGAACTTAAACAATTTTATCTATATATATATATATAAATTTAATTAAATTTAACATCGTATATAAATATTACTTTATAATAAGATTTCTTAAAAAAAATGTGTGAAAAGTAAACACTTAAAAGGCAAGGGTACGTTGAATTGATTCATCCCACGTGATTATTTAATGCAATTTACCAAAGAACATGGAAGAATGGACTAGAGTACTGGAGGAATATTTTACTTTAAAGATAAATTTCCAAAATAATAAAGTAAAAGTAAATAAAAAAGATAAAAGGGTTTACTCTTTTTGTTCTCTTTTTAGGGTTAATAAGGCAAACTTGATCAATAGATAAAAAAAATTGTACCGGTAGCCACTAGCCATGCATTAATTGGTATTTCATTGAAATGATAATTAGTACTTTGTTATTGATACTAAATTCGTTTCTCCCTACAACGAAAATGGTGACAAGCAACAAATTAATACTAACATCTCAGTCATAGATATTAATACCTTAATTAATAGCTCCATCGTCTCTCGATTAACTTTCGGTTCATGGAAGGATTAGCAAACGGGGAAGAACTGGAAGCATGCAACGACGGAGAAGCGCAGTTAAGACAGGGAAAGATGGAGGCGAAAAGGGTGGGTTTGGAGCTATTTTTGTGGTTGGATTTGGAGTCGAGGGAGGAATGATAGGGATAGGAAGGAGGAGGGGTCAAAGGAGGGAGAGCAGTGTGAGAAGCAGGATGCTTGGAGGTTCCAGGGTGTGATTCCCACATGAACGGAACAGCAACGGAGGCTCCGCCGTAGTAGACTCTGGAAGAAGAATTAGCCATGGAAGTTTCCTTGGACATCAGCCTGGAGAAGAACTTGTCATCTTGCTTCATTTGGAGACCTTTCAGTTCAAAGCTACTACTACTGTCGCTCGACATTTTGGAATGGGTGTGACCTACACTTGGCAGATCTCTAGTTTCAGAATGCCGAAGCTGAAGCCTAGTAAAGATCAGAATTACGAATACAAATTTCCAAGGCCGAATGACTTGTTTAATTCTAGTCTAGTGGGTTTAAGGTTACATACATACCTTGCAATCGTAGGGTGGAATTGATCTCCGTCGGGTAAATTTAGTTATAAGAAATTTATATGTTTTAAAACAATGGTAAACTACACATTTAATACTAAAATGATCACTTTTGTATTGTTTTGGTCATCCAACTATTTTTTAAAAGCATACCTAACTTTTAGTTTTGGTTTCATTTTGGTCACTTACCGTTAAAAATTTAACAGAACTGTTAACATGATAGTTGCTCTATTTTTTCAATGATGATGTGACACGACAACAACACCGTTAATTTTTAACACATGTAACCAAAATGACACTAAAATTAAATGATAGGTATGATTTTGAAACAAAAAATAATTAGGTGACCAAAAAAATAAAAATAATGGTTGAGATATTAAACTAATAGTTTACCCAAAAAAAGTTAATTTTTATTCAAGACATTATTGCATCAGGTGTAAAACCTGATCCCATAACATTTATTTCTGTTCTGACTGCATGTAGTCACTCAGGATTAGTAGATCAGGGTTTCAGAATTTTCAACTCAATGCAGAGTGAGCATGGGGTTGACCCAGAATTAGATCATTATACTTGCATCATCGATTGTCTTGGTCGAGCCGGTCATTTTCATGACGTGGAGCTCCTTATGGAGCAGATGCCACATAAAGATGATCCAGTTGTATGGGAAGTTGTACTTAGTTGTTGTAGAGTCCATGGAATTGTCAGCTTAGCTCAACGAGCAGCACAGGAACTCTTCCGGCTTGACCCTGAAAACCCCACACCGTACGTGCTTCTAGCCAATATCTATTCTTCTTTAGGAAGATGGGATGATGTAAGGGCCATCAGAGAGCTGATGAGCGACAAACAGATTGTTAAGGATCCTGGCTATAGTTGGACTGAACAGAAAGAGCAGGATACAAGTTTATTTGTTGGGTGATAGACAAACTTCATTGGCTCTCAGAAAACAGAGCTTAACATTGTATTCCAAATCAATATAAAGAGTTTAACATTTAAAGGATTAATTAGTCCATTTTATTATTTCTGTAAAATATTATCACATAGAAAACACACACAAACTTAAAAGCACGCTATAAAGCAAAGCATTAAGACATAAATTTGATTTGAAAAAAAAAACAACTTAAGTAGTTAATAGTCATAAACAGCAATCCTGTCCATGATCTTGTCCACACTATCTTTGGACTCCTTTAACAGCTCGATGCTCCTTTTGAGCTTCGCACGCTTTGCAGCCATTACAGGGGATTCCATTGTCATCCTCTCAATTCCATACCCATCTGCTCCCATCAAGTCCTTCACAATCTCCTCCATGTCATTGTTCACAAGATTATGAACACTATACTGTAAATGCAATGCCATGGAATCAACCAATCTCACCTTAAATATCTTCCAGTAAGCACACATTCTCATCTTCAAGTCAAAAGCTTGCTGCAGAAGCAAACCATTCTTATGCTGTCTCAGATGTTCAATTGCAATTTCCCCAATACCTTGAAGAACCAACAAGGAAGGCGGCTGCAACATGTTTGGTCCGGTATTTACTCGACTTATGAAACAGTCTTGTTGGCTCATGAGCTTCGTCCACTCCGCCATGTAATCTGGGTTACAAGATAGTTTAAAAAATTCGTCTCGATCCGATCTGATTAAATTTTTATTTATTAAAACCCACAAATTTTTTTATTTAAAATATAAAATAATTAAAATAATTGTTGGAACCCCCGCGACGTGAAAAGTCAAACTGTCCATTAGTGTTTTTCTGAGCTTTCTCGCTTTACTTGTTTACAGGAAGTCAAACTGAAGAATAAGTTTTATTATTTGTCTATTTCTTTTGTCCTTATATAGTATATAATTTGTTGTCATTATATTATTATTATTATTATTATTCAAACACCATTATGGTATAGCCGAGAAAAAAAAGAAGGGGAAAAGCCGTGAAAAAGCATTAAAAGGTGTTAAATCAATCGTTAAAATAATTATTGGAAGTCACGCCCTCGGGAACCAAAAATTGTCGGAATAGGAAAGTAAAAAAAATTAAAAAAAATAATTATTCATTAACTATGCGGGTCGGGTCTGGTAGGATTATTTTAGCCCCCAATCCGACTCCGACTCGACTCTAAAAATTTTAATATAAAATCCGACCTGACCTCGAATTTAAAAAAAATCGACCCGATCGGGTCGGTCGGATCAAAATCCGTCGGGTTTGGGTTCCATGTCCATCCCTAATTATATATACATTATATACATATATACATATATATATATATATATATACTTGTACTTATGCATGTATATGTATATATATAATATACATTATACTTGGAACAATCAAATTATAATTTAATCAAATTATAATTTTTTTAAAATATAAAAATAATAAAAATTATACTAATTAAAAAACATTATACATAAATTATATATAGATTGATGAGGTGGCAAAACAATTAATGCTTTCCTCAAAAGTTACACCACATTAATTACTTGCTTATCCCTTAAGTAAAAGAAAATCAAAGATTACTTCCAAAGATGAAGGCATGAGCGACAAAATAAAAAAATAATTGGAATCAAGCTTTTTAAATTTCAAAACATAGATTGAGCTTGTATTTGGATTTAAGAAATTTATTTGTAATATGCATTTCTATATATTGTAGTGGACCTGATATAATAAGATTTAGTTTTCAATATATATATATATATATATATATATAATCATATTAATTATCATAGTTTGTTTTAATTTTTATGAAGTAATCATATTAATTTTCATAATTTATTATAAATTTAAAATCTCATAATGTCATCAATTGTTACTTATAATTGAAACTTATAAGTTAAATAAATATCATATTAGTTCAATAACAAATTGGATTATTTATAGGTTTAGCTAATTACAAGTGATAAGTGTTTATTTTAGTTAATATTTTACTTTTAAATTACTCTTTAATCATTGATTTTTGTGACTTATTTGTTCATTTTAATTCATTTTCTGTATAGGATGTAAGATTCTGGAAATTGCACAAAATGACACAATTCTGCTGTTTTTTATTTTCGGAATCAAAGCTGACTGGAATTCGAATTTGAATTAAACTCAAGTTTAGGATAATATTTTAAACATTATATTTTATATTTGTATTTTAATTTAAATAAGTTTTAGTATTGTAATTAAGTTTTAGGATATTATTTTTATATTTTATCTTTTCTTTAAGTATTTTAGTTTAAATAGGTTTTAGTATTTTAATTAGGATTTATAATATTATATTATTTTTAGGTATTTTAGTTTAAATAGTTTTAATTGTTTTAATTAGGATTTAAGATGGTTTAGCTTGTTTTTAAGAATTTGAAGGCTATAAATATTTTCTAAGGGTGAGCCTAGATAGATATCTCTCTCATTTAAGAATAAAATCTTCTTTTTCTCTCTAGCTTTCTCTCTATTTTTCGCATACTTTTCTATTATGCTAAGTATAACTTTGGTCATGCTTGGCTAATTTTCTTTCAAGCCGAAGGCTAAAGCGAAGGCTCAATTCCAAACGTGAGAATTGTAAGGTACTTAAATCGCTTCGGATTTTCTCTCTGTTTTCTGAGCTTACTTTTCAAATCAGAACGATTTCAACATTGGTCCGGATATTGTTATAGTTAACGTTTGAAGAAGGATTTTCTTATTGAAGCATATTCAACTTCCCGAGAACACACTTAGCAAAATTATTTGCTAAGAGGAAACTGAGATCGGAATCAGTCATTATTGAAACGATGCAATCTGAGTTGGCAGTGAAGAATTGTTCTTGTAGTAACCGACGTGAATCTTGAAGTAAAAATCAGTTTCGATGATCTGAGGAATTTGAGACAAAGCTAAAGTCTGAGGCTGCTTTCACAATAAGTTTCTCTTTATCTCAAACTCTTTAATTTATTTATTTATTTATTTATTTATTTTAAAAACAACTTTTAAAAATTCTAATTTTATATTTATTATTATATTATTTTCCTTTTTTATTTTATTTTAATATATTTTTTCAACTTCATCTGGAATTCTATCTTCTTCTAAAATCAAGAAAGAGTTTTATTAAATGAGAAACACCACAATCCCTGTGGATCGACCCTGCTTCTCTATACTACATTTTCCTACCTATTTAAGAAGTCAGAAATTATTTTGATAACAAAACGACGGTTATCAACAAGTGAGGTTCATAACATGTCATGTTCATAACATGTATGATAATACTAGTTATTTATCAGGTTAATCTAGAGTTCGGATTCATATCTAGGTTAGGTTTGATTATCATATTATCGGTTCAATTCGGATTCAGGTCATTCATATATTGTGTGCAGGTCGGGTTTAGATCCACTATTTCATAGATACCGAGAAAAAATCCTACAGCCACAAATTAAATCGATTAAATATTTTTTTAAAAAGTAAATGATCAATAAATGGAGCAAAAGTACACGCATCATAAAAAAATCACAAATCTATTTGAAGGAAAAAGAGTGCAATATACCGATGTCATACCCCATAATTGCCACAATAAAAAAATATACATATTAATAGCACTAAAATTAAAATAAGGGGTGGTCATGGGGTTTTGAATTCTTTAATCAGGTAGTGGTAGACAATGGCCTAACCACTAGGTCTTGTTTTTATTTTTTCTTGAAATAATAGTTGGTGGTGTTATTTTTTAAATTTAGGGTGATTATTAACTGTTATAGCAGAACTATTCTTTGTGTTTTAGACTCAGTTTTTCCCTCTAAAAGAACAGCTTCCGCCCCTCCTCCTCCTCCTTGTTCCGGCCGGCGGTGAACAACACCACCACCTCTATCAGGTGCGCCTGACCTCCGAGAAACGATTCCGACCAATCTCGCTCCGAAATCGGTCA